TGGTAATCAGACGTGGACCTTTTCAAACTCAAACTGAAAGTGTATATTTCACCTAGGTATCTTGTTAAAATGCAGATTCTGATTTAGTCGGTCTGGGGTGAAGATCTGCATGTCTAATAAGCTCCTGGGTGGTGGTGCTGCTGCTGCTGCTGCTGCTATTTGTTGCCCATACGCTGAGCAGCAAGCATGTACATCCTGTCACTCCATTTCCTGATGGAAGTCTGCATCCCCCAGGCCAGTGAATACTGGGCAAATACTCACTGGATACCTAACTCCTGAGAAGTGTTGGGGGAAGTGCTGGGATATGAAGACGGGAAGCCTTTGTCATTCCCAGCAGCAAACTGGGAGTTACAAACACATAATACAAACCAGTTACAAACACACGATAGGCTCCTAGCTCTACCAAATGAGCGGGAGCAGACAGATACCAGGAGAAGGGCCTGAGCTCCTGGGAGGAAGTTTGTGGGACAGACTATTAGAGGGGCAGGCATTTCAGGGAGAGCAAACTGCACACATAAAAAATGTACTCCTAGGTGAATCCTCCTAATCTTGCCCTTGCCAAACTAACTTTTCTTAAATACCATCATCAACATGTCACTCCTTTGCTCAAAAGCTCACAAACTCCCTGGTGCCATGACTTTGGTCACAATATAACTGCATTGTGAATGTTACTGTTATCATGCCAACTAGAGTATAAATTCCACCAAACAAGCACCAGGGCTTACAGAGCTGACGTATCCCTCACCTGGCAAAGCAAAACACACGCTAGGCACTCTGTAATGCTGGACTGAAACATTTTAAAATCTCCCTTATCCTGATAGCAAGTACTCTGAAAGTATATTTCCAAATCATTTCTCTAGGTCAAGAGAGATTTCCAGGAGACAACTTTCCTGAAGATTCCACAGAACACTACGTCTAATTAGTGACAAAGGAGAAATAATAACAGAGAAATCTTTTCCCAAACTATAATCAACATTCAACATTTTCAATGCAGTCATTATCTTCTATTTTTTAATCAAAATATATCTTAGAATTAGCAATAAAAATGCCACAATTTAGTAGTATCTGGTGGGCTGTGGGTTCTGTATCTATAATCTCTAGCAATCAACAATGCAAAACAACCCCCGAGCATGGGACTCGTCCACATCTCACGAAATCCATGTATGGAAAGTGCCCTGAATAGAGAGTTTTGCCAAAGGTGTTTGCTTCTTTGTTTTTAAAGCTAATTAGTTAATTAATGCCAAACAAACTTTCTATATTTCCTACCTTTTCGTCAAATCATAAAAAAGCAAAACTAAGGATTCCAGCTGACCTGATCTCACTAATTCTGACAGCTGGAGTCTGGCCGAAATGATTCCATGGCTTGGAATCCTCTCACAGAGAGCCCTGACTCTGCATCCACAGCACTTAGAAGATTGGCCACCAGGAAGAACGGCTGTTCCTGATGCTGGATGTTCTTGCCTGTATTGTCTAGGCGTGCTCACCTGACCACTGCTCCTCAATGGCTCTGATCTGGTCATCTGTAAAGTGCCACGAACGGGCCAACCTCTGCCACTCATTGGCCTTCAGCTGACGGTAAGCCAGGTTCCAGAGAAGACTGCGAATATGCCTGGTCTCCAGACTGTGATCTTGCTTGAATGTCAGAGCAAAGCTGGTTCTTGGCTCCCTGATGTTTTCGCCGTGTTTCTAAATTGGAAGTAATTGCATTAGATGATTTCAGACATTTTCTACTTATTGCCTTATTTCAGAGCATATATGTATACACACACACACACACACACACACACACATATATACACACACACACATATATACACACACACACACACACACACATATATATACACACACACATATATATACACACACACACACACACACACATATATATTCTATATAT